TCTCTCTCTCTCTCTCCCACACACACAGACACTGCTGCCATAGCTACCGTTGACCATGAGCAGCTTGGAACCACTGCGGTCCACGAACAGGTACGTTCGCTGCGTTCCCTGCTAACGCTTTCCCTGGTGCACCTCGTTGCAGCGCATCCTGGTCACACTGGTCGCCCGTTCTAGTTCGCCCAGTTCGCCCTGGTCTCCCCCATCCGAATGTTCAGTGCCCTTCTGCCACTCTTCTTATATTGGTTTCGGGTCGCGACACCAACCCTGCGCACAGCCGAAAACTGGCACTGAAGGTACCAGACCTTCAAACTTGCCAAGCAGACCCGCGGTTCCCTTGACTGGTCCGAGGTTTAAACCAGCAGGCCCGATCCAAGACCCGCGGGGGTGAAATAAGTACCGCCCACAGTAGAGTAGCTCTTGAATAATACCTTGGGAGCTAGCCTCCCCAAATAACACCAGCGCGTCGGACCAGGCCAAGTGCAGTCCGAACTTGTAGGTCCACCGTATCTGGACCAGAATATGTCAAAGCCCCGAAGTTTTTATTTTCGACAGCTGCAGCCTGTCCCGGTCCGTTGTTGGGTACCACGCGGTGAACCGTACTGTAGACGTGCCATTGTACCGTACCACACGAATGCCAAATTGTCACCGTGCACGTGCTGACCCCGTCTCGAATCAGCGTAACATTATACCGTGCCGTGAATGAACCATACCAAATGTAACAGAACCGCGTAACACATGTCGTAGCCCAATCATGTCGTCGTGACCAGAGAATGGTGCCAAATATGTACCACGCGAGTACCACCAAGGCCTGTGCCATACCTGCCCCGAACCAAAGTGCCATGTCAGAGTCGATCTTGTGTCCATATCGAAGTGATAAAGTCAAGCGGCACAACCAAAATAGCACCAGCAGTGATACTGCGCCAAGCATCCATCCCGCACTCACTCATAACACAAAGGTGGCAATAAGGGTAGGATTCAGATAGATCAGGTAAATCTCGCAAGGGTCCGCAATAATCGGAAAACTGTAAGAATTGCCAGAATTGAGGTAAGTAAATAATACCGGGATAAATCCGATCGCGAATGACTCAAATAAAATTTTATGAAATATTAAATAATCGTTGGTTTTTTCTTTTTTAATCATTTTTAATTATTTTTTTATTTCTTAATTCTATTATCGAAAATAATAAAAATAAACGTATTTTTATCAAAAATAAATTCCGAGGGAATTCAATTAAATAACAAAAATTCCTTTGTTTTTCCTTCTCTTATTATTTTTAATTATTTCTTCTTAATTTTAATTCTGTCATTGGAATCAACAAAATTTGAGGCTCCATCTCCCCGTCGATAGGTTGATGTAGAAGAGTCGTGCCAAGGCCTACTCCCATATTACCGTCCCACGGCTAGCCATTTCGGAAATAGCCTTGGAGGGGGCGAAAAAGAGGTGGGCGTCAGCACGGTAGAAGCGGTAGTCCCTCTTGTCAATTTTGAGGGCTACTCTCAACGGTCGGCACCTCAAAAATTAGTGGTGCTCTAGGTACCCCTAATTTTTCCGGTCAGGTCAAACAAGAGTATCAGTAAAATCTTAATTGGGCGTTCGTTTGAGGGTCTTATTCCTTTTATTTCGGGTGGCCGGCTGGATTTGGCCGCCCGACACCGGCGCCGGTTACACTCACCCAGGTTCGGGCTTTTCTAGGGCTGACATCCTATTAGCGACGCTTCATCAAGGGGTTCGCCGGTATAGCGAAGCCCCTCACGAACCTGCTGAAGAAAGAGGAACAGCTGATCTGGACGCCGGAATGCGAAGCGGCGTTTCAGGCGTTGAAGGAGGCTCTGACATCTGCTCATGTGTTGGCGCGTCCCGACCCGACAAGACCGTTCACACTGCACACCGACTGGCAGCCTCAGGCGATATCGGCAGTGCTGACTCAGCACGGGGCGGACGGAAGGGAACACGTGATTGAGTATGCGTCTAAGATGCTGAGCCCGGCGCAGGCTAATTACGAAGCGTGCAAAGGTGAATGTCTGGCGGTGGTGTGGGGGATCCAGCATTTACGACCGTATCTCTACGGCCAGAAAACTGTGCTGGTAACGGATCATCAGCCGCTGCTGTCCCTACGCAACAACACGGACTACACGGGGACGCTGGGCAGATGGGCGGTGCGTCTGCAAGACTATGACTTCGACATCCGCCACCGTGCCACGCGGCAACATGGAAACGCCGATGGATTGTCGCGCCTCCTGCCGCCCAACAAGTGTCCCGCCAACGAGCGACTCATTCCGTGGAGGCCAGAAGTCGAGGCGACGAAACCGCATAATGGGGAGCTACATGTGCTGCGCAAGAACGACGCCTGAGTCCGAAATGCAGGTTTCGCCGGAGATGGCGGACGCTATCTTTTTGCCCTCATCCAACTCCCTCGCTCTCTCGTCTAGTCCCTACTCGTCCTCTGAGACACATCTAAGTCCTTGTTTCTTTTGTACCTTGCCTATGGTCCCGGACCAAGAAGGGTCACATCCAGGAGGGCCCAGTTTTCTTTTATGGGTACAGTGTAGTCAGTGTCATACGGTCAAATCTCACGGACAGTGCGTTAGGTACCGAAGTGAAAAGACATGGGTTTGTCCCAACTGTAGAACAAACCAAGTCCCTACCGAGAAGCGGTATCTTGACGCCAGAACAGCCGGCGGACTTGCGCGAAGTGCCAGCTGGGCAGAAGTCTAGACGGACCTTCTGTTGCTACAGAGGCTGTCAGGCGACTCGCTGTCCGAACTTACCAAAGCCAAGCAGCGGAGAGTCACGGAGCAGGTGCAGGACTATCGCTGGCAGGGACCGACGTTACAAAAACGAAAGGTCGATGATGACGGAGGGTCTAGCTGGTTGACGGCTCGACACCCTCTCGCTAGGTTCGATTGGACACGAGCCGCTCATGAAGAGGATGCGGTCCATTTCGCGGTCAAGTACACGGAACAAGTTATCGAAAAGAACGGATGGTATTGGTCGGGAATTCGGGAAGATATGAAATACACCGTCCAGAATTGCCCGGCCTGCGCGGCGGACAAGGCGCCGGTACAGACGCCTCGGACGATGGTGCCCACTCGAGTAGAGCGCCCCTTTCAGAGGGTTAGCATCGACACAACGGATATCAACGTTCCGAGAGGTCCCGTCGATCAGGGAGAGCTCAATGTTCTTTTAGTGGTCGTCGATCATTTTTCGAAATGGATCGAGGCGTACCCTATGACCAGCCGGAATTCGTAGGAGGTAGCCTGGTACGTAAATTGATTTTTGTGCATGCATCTAGACGTAGAAGAGGTACACATGGACAATGGGTCAGAATTTCAAGGCGAAGTAGAACGCCACCTAGTCAGGGCAGACGTTAATATTATCTACTCGCCGGGGCATTGGCCCCAAGCCAACGGCCTGGTAGAGAATGCCAACCGACTGATTAAGACTGCCCTTAGACGGAATATCACTGCGGGAGACACCCGGCCCTGGCCTGTCATTGTCGACCACATCTTGGCCGTTTATCGGGCTACCCCACACGGTAGTACTGGGGTGTCCCCCTTTCAACTGAGAACCAATAGTGTCCCTCGGGTGCAGTTGTGCCCCTTGGTAGGTACGAAAGTTAGAGCAACACGGGCCCAGCACAGAGATAAGGCCCACCACTATATGGACTTAATGGCTAGGGCCTATCCCCCGTTAGCACGCCAGCAACAGCGGGCCGTAGATCGGACGCATCAACGGCAGATCCGCGACTACGAAAATCGACATGCGTCCGCGGGACCACTGCCTCGCTATAAAATAGGGGACTTGGTGTAGGTACGGAAATCCGCGAGCTCCTCCAAAATCCACCCACGCTACACAGACATTTACGAGGTGACGGAAGTTGGCGGACGAGGCCAGCACTCCGTGAAGCTGGTTCCCAGGCACAACTCGCAGGGCCACCCGCTGACAAGGCACGCTGCTGCCCTCCGGCCTTTTCAGCCATCGCTAGATCTCGTGTGGCCACCTGTCCTGCCCGAATCACCTTCTTCGTCCCTCTCTCGTGCTCCTTGGTCCTCGCCTCGTTCTTCCCCTTCTCTCCGATCAGCGTCGCCGGCATCCGCGGAAGACCTTGCCTCGCAGGATGAACCATCGCCAACCGGAGCATGAACTGCTCGAGCACTTCCAACCGCCAATCTCGGATGCTCTTCTCCGAAACCGGTTCAACGACGATCGGCAGCTGCGCTTCGACATTCAGCAAGTGAACGTGTCGGCTCCTAGCGTTGCTAACTTGGCGGTGTACTCGCTCCTCGCGCAGCAGGTAACGTACGCGGGAGTCTATGTGGACATATCGCCCGTGCCTAGTCAGGAATCCACGCGAGTGTTCATCGAGTTCCGAGCCATCCAGGTGGCTACGAACTTTGTGCACAACATCGCTACTTTCACCGGGGACTTAACTGTCTTGCCCGGGCACGATCGGGAGCCGGCGTACAGGTTCTTGCGCGATTACGCCCTCCACGTGGCGAGATCGGTGGCGCGAGTGCAGGCGAGGGCCACTCATCGCTTCACCGCGTACGAAGGACTTCTGCGGTGGACTCCGGAGGGAGCACTTGCATTGGTGCCGCAGCTTCCCGCGCTCCTTCCTACCGCCGAGCCCCTCAACATCCAAGCTGTCTCTCTTCCTTCTCTCTAAATGCCTCCCTTCTTCTCTTACACTACCCTCCCTTACCAACTGACACAGCTCCCCTATCCTATGCGCAACTTCCCCGAGTACCTGGTGGAGCTGACGGACGTGGAGCAGTTGCCGCCCGCTGACGAGGACGCGTGGGAGCTGCATCGGGCGCTTTATTCGTCGGTGGTGCTGGGCATGTTTACATTTTTCGTGGAGCACGAAGTTCATAACATTGGCGAGCTCCTCTACGTATACTACGTGATTGCCAAGCCGAAGCCGGAGCGGAAGGAGGGAACGGTGGCGCTTTACCCTTTTGGGAGGATCGAAACGAATCGCCCGGGGCTCTTACAACTCGTTCACATCGAGTTGTTGTCCATCGCGAAGGTAATCGCCGCGGAAGTAGAAAACTTGCAGCTCAGACTGCGGACCGCCTCAGCCCCGTGCAGATCGTATAACGCGGCGGTGACACCTGACTACCTGGCGCGTGAGGGGGAGTCCATGGTGGACTTCGGGCACGAAGATAAGCCGCTGCGGCCCCCATCATCGTATCCAAAGCTGGCGGCCCTGAAGGCACCGAGAAAGAGAACCGTCCCGAAGCGGCGACGAAGTCCATCGCCGGAAGCTCAGGCCAGTCGAGTGGGGCCTGTCGAGGAGGTCGTCCAGCCTGCGCCGGTGCGCGAAGTCGATCCGGTTCGCGAGAGAAGAGCCACACTCATCATCGGGCCCCGACTGGCCCGACTGGGGGAGGACTGCCCCGCCGAAGAACCGCGGAGCCATCGGGAGTCGACACCTCAGCGGCCCCGCCTCCCCGATCTCAATAGCCATGCAGTCGGGCCATCAGGCGCAGGGGGGGGATTGGGACGAGTTCCATATCCCACATCCAGACCCCCCCTCCTTGCAGGACCGTTCCGATTTCGCCAGCCCACCCGGGATACCCCGGTCATTGACATTAGCAGTTCCACCGACGTGGATCACATGGTGGAACTGGCCACCATCCGGCTTGAGGTCATCGAGGGGGCGCCACGTCCTGATCCGGCATGGGAGGCGTTCTTGCGGCCTCCGTTCGACGGATGTATAGCGGCGAGGTTCGTGGGCACGCTCATCTACGAGACCGGCGGGCGACGCAACATTATGTACCATATCTTGGTCTTCGCGGCGGTTAAGCGGGAGCGGAGGCCATACACGGAGACCCATCTGGTGCTGATGGGTCCGAGAAATCGGCCGCTGCGACGACGAATCACTCAGCGATCGCTGATCTCGCGCCCCGGGTCCTCTCACATGTGCCGGGGGCTTTCCTCTACCCCTCCTTTGTCCAGCACCACTTCAATGAAGTGGAAGTGCCAGCCAACTTGGCCGCGCTCGCGGCATTTCTCCCTCCTTTTCCCCCCCTCTCAATCCGGAGATTGATTACTTCCTATGATCATCTCCACCACCACCACCTCTTTCTTTTTCTTCTTCTTTTCCGGATCTAAAGCTCGTGCGATGATACGCGCTGTGTATAAAAATATATATACATGTATATATATATATGAGTCGGTGAAACTCCGACGAAACAGTTTGTCACAGCCCCTCGTTTGTTGTCCTCTTCTCCCTCTCTGCCTACGGTTTACCGGGCAGTTCTATTTGACGATATATATATATATATATATATACCGATCGGGCCAGCTGACGATGAAGGGGCCGCCCGATCGAATGTATACTATGGGAGTATGGGAGGAGGCGATTGAGGATGCAGGATGCATCCACGTAGATTAGGAAGATGATCGGGCCAGCTGACGATGAAGAGGCCGCCCGATCATCCAAGATATGATGACATTAGCATTCGGGAGACTGCTAATTTTTCGGAACCCCCTGCGTATCACATATGTGATAAGCTCAGATCTGTACTGCGCGGCTTCCCGTATCCCTGAGGAAAAATCCCACGGAAGCCCCGAAGTACGGATACAGACAGAAATGGGTTTTTCTTTCTTTCTGCTTTTGTTTTCTTTTTGAAACGGCTTTTTCATTTTGTTTGGTTAACAACTCCCGCGCGGGCGAATAGCGGTCGCGGTATGAAAACCAAGAAACGGGGGCGGTTGGGACTTTTTGAATTTTTTGCGCACGCACGCCCAAGCTCCGATCTCTTCGCGCGTCTCGCATCCCCGTTTCTTGCTTTGCATCCCCACGCCATCTTCCCTTCTTGCTGCGCGCATTTTCCCCATGCCGGACTCTTCATCTTCCCCTCCGCCCAGCTCGATCCTATCCCCGCGAAGTGATTGGCCGCGTAGTTGGGATGCTCGGATCAATATGGAGAGCGGGAAACCGCGGGCCACTTGAACGGACACCCCAATCACGTAGGACCATGCCATACCGCGGGTCGAACCCTCTAACTCCCCACCTTCCTCCTGTCCTGCTCATCTACAACCTGCGTTGCCCGCACCTCGCGCTGACAACCCGCCGCCTCCCGCGCTATAAAGTCGCGCAACCCTCTCCTCTCTTCCTCTTTGATCTCGGCTGCAATGCTGCGCGAGCTATGCGCGAGAGTCCGCGGCGCCGAACAGGCTCGACTAGCCCAAGGACGGGCGGAGTGACGACGTGGGGTGGACCCGCGGTAGTCTCGGGGCGAAGCAGTCGGAGGGACTGAGCAGTGGTGGGGATTGGACGCCGGCCGCGGCAGGGCCTTGTGGCTATGGTGGTCGGGGGTCTTGGGTGGTTTGAAGGCTGCGCYTGGGGGCGRCAGTTAATTGARATTTTTGTGTACAAGAAGGACTCGCTTTTATCTCCATTGCTGCTTTGTCTATGCATGTCGTGTGTGTGAAGCCCCGATTGATGGGCGYTGGTTGTGCGCACGAGTGATGTCGAAGGTCCATGGATGATTAGATGTCCTGTCAAGGATTGTTGATTGCATGCATGTATGTGTGTATGTACTCGTCYGGACGGGGATGGGGAAACTGACTTTCCATGGATGATTAGATGTCCTGTCAAGGATTGTTGATTGCATGCATGTATGTGTGTATGTACTCGTCCGGACGGGGATGGGGAAACTGACTTGGGGAACCGTCTGCTTCGGAGTATGAGTGTGTTAGCCCCATTGTTCCCCTCCCTTCCGCGGCCCTTCCTGCGCGCACGCGCAGTCTCGATGTAACTTACTCTCCCTCTCCCTCTCGCTTTTTTTCGTTTGCGAACTGGTAGTCATTGCTTGGATCGTCTCGTCCCTGCACCGGTGACGTCAACCGTCTGCGTCCGCGCACGCGGTCGATGCCCCCGCGAGGGGAAGAGAGCTTAGATTCCGCCATCTTCCTCCGATGTACTAACTTTGAGAGAGAAGGTTGCATCGAGTGTTGTATGGAGTCGATGTTGGTTCGGATGACCAGGAGCGTGGGATCTTGCCCGTGTTGATCGCCTACCTCCGATCGCCTCATCTCGCTACCAACCTTCCCCATTACAGATGACCACAGCGTCTACTGCGATGCGAACGTACGGCGCCGCGCTGAGACGAACAGAGCAAGTGTGTTGGCAGGACCCGCCTCGGGCTTGTGATATAAGGGGGGACGGGTTTGTTTTGATTGATCGTTTTGATTCCCCGACTCTAATCTTGCCTTACACGGGTTTAACTGTGTTGCCCTGGTCGGCCGCTCACGCCTCGTGGCGTCCGCGGTTTGATTGTCGCTGGTGTCGCCAGGGGGATTCGTGTTCTTGGCAACGCTTGGTCCTGGGTTACGAGGGAGCGACACGTTTCCCCGAGCTCTCCCGTAATGCGGGGGCGCTGCCCGCGCAATGTCGAATTCGGATGCCAGCGAGTCCTCCTGCCGCTTCACCCTCTCGGGAACTTCCGCGCGGACTTTGCGAGTCCGACGCCGAGGCGTGAAGGCCTCGAACCAACCACCTCTACAGCAACAACCCGACGGTCCGGTCACTTCGTGAGGCCGATGACGAGGCCTGAAGGCTTCGAACCCCCTACCTATCCCCCTAACCCACGACGGCCGGAGTTTCTGTTTTCCGCCGCCATGGCCCTTTCCCCTTGATGCCTTTTCCCGTCCTGATACACGGCGGCAGTTCGTTTTTGCGGAAACCTTCCTGATTTTATCGTTCAGAGTGATCCGACCTCCACGGGACTTCGCGACGACAGTTCGACCCCGGGGAAAACCTCTGGTACGAAGCGAGGGCCTCCCGTTCCGTCCGGGAGACTCAACCCTTACGGCCAAAAATCCTCGGCCACGCCCCTCCAAGAACTCTGATTGACGACCCCGTATGGAAAGCCGCGAGGGGGCGTGAGGTTGCGTATCACATGCCCACCCACCATCCCCCTCCCCACTCCCTTTGGTGTGGTCCTTATGGGCCTGCAGACACTCGCGTCTGAATGTTTTATGCACCTGTTGTTAGACCACCAGTACCTTTCCCATATATCGGTCGCGGGCAGTTTCAGAGGCCCAGAATGAAAAACGGGACGCCGATGAAATTTATTAACGGGGGAACCTTTCCCACTTGGCTTCGGAATATACCGGCGCAACCTCCATTTTCAAGCCGGGAAAGGTAGTGGTGGTTTAAGGAGGGCGCATGCTCTCCCCCCGAACAGTTTGCACATCCCCACCCGAGTTCCCTCACTCCCTCGTCTCTCAGCTAAGGCCACAAGAAATTAGCGATTTCGCTCTCAAGCCCACATTGTGCCCACCTGCCTTTCCCCATGTAACACCCATTTTTCACCCACTTTAACCCTTTCTAGGAAGCAATTTGTACCCTCGAATCCTCGATTACCTTTTCCGGTCCCTACCACCCCCCTAAGTACCCCTATATGTTCTCGATAAGTCTCCTTCAACAACCTGCCGTCTCCACAAAACCCCCCCGTATTTATGTGCCTTTCCATGAAAAACCTCCCCCTATGAAACTTGAAGTAGCCAACCCAGGAGATCCCAAAGTTCGAACACTGAAGTTCGATGCACGGTTCAGAGAGCACTTCAGTTTGCATGTAATTGCATGCATTTTTTGAGAATTTCCTTGTCTTTTTCACAACTCTAACCTCGCGCTGCTGATTAGCGACCACACAGGAACTTTCAAAGAAACGGTTATCCTTTTAGATGCTGCTGCGTTTTAATTTCTTTCTGGGCATATGCACGTGTGGAGTCATTTTCAAATCTTGCAAGATTACACAAGCTAGCTTCCCGCTCCTGCACGCGCGCCAACTTCTCTTTTTGCCTATTGCTTCCTGTATATGTTTCCCTTCGTCTTGTTTCCTCCCATTTGGGCCAAGCTGGTTGGCCGCCAGCCGATTTGGTCTGATCAAGCCATAAACACGGACTTAGGCATGCGGCTTGAATGGCCACCTTAATTGTGCGAAATTTTTGATCATCCCGCCTTCTTCGTTCTCCGTCTTTCTAGAACCTTCCCTCTTCCTTGTTTACCCCTGTCCTCTTCCTTCCCCATCTATGTCTCCTCCCTCCCCCGCATTACACGCTGGTGCCCCGCCTGTGATAAGCTGGGATCCGTACTTCGCAGCCTCACGTACCCTTCGCAGTAAAACCCGAAGTAAGCCCCGAAGTAAGCCCCGAAGCATGGATCTTAGCGGATCAGGAAAAACCGGGTCCATTTCTCATTGTTGAGGTTAATGGCATGCGTCTTTCAAGGTTGCCCCTGTCCTTGTTCAAACTAGATCTCCGAGCGGACTGTTAGCGAGCACACAGAGAAATCCAACAAACAGTTAGGAATTTCAGTTCGTGACATTTAAATTTTATTTGTGCTAAAGCGCGCGCCACCATTTTTTTTTTTCTTGCACGGTATTCTCAGTTTTTTCTCAGCCGAAGCCGGATAACGGCCCCGGTGTTACAAACTGATGTATGTTCATATGGGACGCTGGGCCCGGTTCCCAGCACGTGCTGCTCCCCACGAATAGACTGGAGCTTTTTTCAAAAAAAAAAAAAAAAAAAAAAAAAAGTGTAAGCTCGGTTCCTGCTATGCGTGGGCACACCATCTTCCCCTCTCGCTGAGCGCTTCTCCCTGGATGTTCTTTCATCTCCCTTCGACTCTACGCCCAATCCTCCTCTTTCCCTTCCGGGCGATTGATTGGTCGTTAGTTGGGATGGCTGGATCAATGTCGTGAAAGCGCACTCACGCGCGCAGCTTGGACGACCACCCCAATTGAACGAGGAATACCGACCACCCCGCCTCCTTTCATCCTTTTGGAACCGCCACCCTTCCTCTTTCCTGCTCATCCTCATCCCTTGCTGCCTGCACCACAAGGCACCCCACCGCCTTCCGCGCTATAAGTTCTCACAGCTCCTTCCTCTCCTCCTCTTTGATCTCGGCTGCAATGCTGTGCGAGCTATGCGCGAAGACCACGGCGTCGAAAAGGCTCGACGTGCCCAAGTGACAAGCAGAGTGACAACATGAGGTGGGATTAGCGGTAGACTTGGGGGTACATGCTGTCGGAGGGACTGAGCAGTGGTGGAGATAGAACGTGGCCAGCGGCAGGGCCTTGTGGCTATGGTTGCTTGATGTTCTGGTTGGTTGGGGGATG